GGGGGAAGAGTGTATTTCTTTGTGGGGGTATATTATTTTAAATGTGGGGGGGAGCCTCCCCTAAACCACCCTACATGAATAAGCAGATAAATAAGATCTGAACATATCTTATTGTTAATATAGGTGTGCTCCCAGGCTCCAATAACAACGTTGGCATAAGAGGGTGCAAACTTGCTTTTTTACGGATATCCATTGTTCAGCTTTAAAGGCATTGTTCAGCAGTTCAGCATCCATTGTTCAGCAGTGTGTACAATATCATCCTGCCCCCAAATACCTCTATTTATATCAATGTTACAGATTGGTATTTGGGAATCTCCGTTAGGATGGACTACTCTTTGTCAGTTAAAAACGGTTATCAAACAAGCTGTATTTTATTGCAACAAATGATGCCATTGTCTTTCTGTGATACTTGTTTATGTGCATATTCCAAATATATCGAGTCACAAGTGCTATATGCTAGGTATTTGTTTTTAACATTTGAGATAATCTGTCATGACTTAATTTTTAGGGCTAACGTGTACTGAACAAAACTTTATCACAAAGACTGCCTTCCATCAAGCTGCTTCAGAAAATGGCCTGATCTTGGTGGCACCTGACACCAGTCCACGTAGGTTTTGTATTCTGGCTTCTCCATTTTGGCTTTGTTTGTGAAATAAATAATGACATGAAGTAATATGTCTTGTGGTGTTGTTCATCTGAGGTCGTGTTTACCTAATTTTAAGACCTGCTAAGGACCAGATGATTCTTATGTCCTGATATGTAAAACCATTGTATTCAAAGGGGGCATACTTTCTTTTTCACACAACTGTAGCATACTAAATGTGGCATTATTCCTTTGATATGCCTCATTGTTCCTGAGATATGAACAAGCTTTCTGTGCAAAATTGTGGTCATTTCCCCATAATCTCATGAAAGGACTTGGTGATAGTGTTTGTAAAAATGTTCATAGATATTAAAGCAGTATTCTAACTAAAACTTTTTAAGGGGTGGAGAAGGGTTAGAACTTAGAACAGAGAGAGAGGAATACTTAAAAGAAAAAGAAAAGGGAGAGACCGTGTGTCTGTGAGGTTCAACAAGCTCTTTTAGTCTTATGTGATTTGACCAGCTAGCATGCACATTCCAAAACTTGTCTTGTAACCTTTTAATAACTACAGATTGCATTCTTTTGGGTTTGTCAGAATGTAGCCCAGGAATAAAGGGTTTTGTGAATTCTGTATGCTTCAGTTAAACAGAGAGATGGGTGGCCTTGTACCTGATGGCGTTTTACACATGTAGAGATGACCTTCTTAATCAATGGTTTCTTACAGTAAAGAAAAACAAAACATCACTTGATTCTTGATGACTTCTTATTACCATATACCTTGGTCACTAACACGGCTAGTATTTTATTTGGTGACAAAGTTGCTTTCTAATAGTAAGGCTGATTATATTGGATAGCTACAGTCAAAAGCTAAGTTTTTCTCTATTTCAGGTGGCTGCAATATTGATGGAGAAGAGGAAAGTTGGGATTTTGGTACCGGTGCTGGCTTCTATGTTAATGCCACCGAGGAGCCATGGAAAACTAACTATAGAATGTATTCTTACGTAGTGGAAGAGGTAATCTAGCTACTTCATACTTAACAAATTCCATCTTAGAAAATATTGCTCTTTTCATACTTTAGAAGCTAGTACACCTTTTGTATACATTTCATAACCTAAATGGCTGCAGAAGGCAATATTTTCACTCAGGAGCTGATTGTAAACAAGTCTGTTGTTTTATCCATATTGTCACTGTGGGATGTCACATAAAATGCCTGCTGATACTTCTCGGTCTGCAATGACATTACAGTGTCCAAACAGACCGCAATCCTAAAATCGCCAATAATAATCCAAGCTTTATTAAAATCCACAATGAAATGTCAATATGTGAATATACACCAACACTGCAAACCCCCAGTACACCGAAATCCTCTAACGAGTTGCACAGATAGGCTTATTCATAGAGGTTGACAATCACACTGGGTGGAAGGAGCGTTTGGGGGTGCCATTGAAATGATTGGGACTGCAACGCACCTCCTGCAGCAGAATTTGTCAGGCCTAAACCGAAAATTACCTTTTCCCCTGATATATGAATGTAAATACAGCAGGTAGTGGGCTGGTGCAACAGCCAGCCTGCTATTGGCCATTTCAAATTGCAATAACCAATAGCAGGTTGGCTATTGCGCCCACCCACTGCTTTCTGTGCCATCCTCCCAGCTTGGAGGAGAGAGCTAGGGAATCCAACCAACTAATCGACAATGAGAATAGTTGACAACTATCCTCATTATCAAATATTATCGATTAATCAATTAGTTGGTTGCAGCCCTAATGTACAGTGAGAATGAGGTATGGTTGAAAAAACTGGATATAATATAAATTGTTTTCTTTTTCTAGCTTCCGCAGCTCATAAATGGAAATTTCCCAACAAACCCAGACAGAATTTCTATTTTTGGACATTCCATGGGGGGCCACGGTGCTTTAATCTGTGCTCTGAAGAACCCTGGGAAATACAAGGTAATGGCTTTTTTCAGATAGTTTTTTTTTTTTAAGTGAGCTACCGGTGAAAGTTTTCCTGCAACCATTAATGCCTCTTTAGATAATTGTTTTCAGATTTGGTTAAATGAGTTATGTCCTTTACCAGTAAATGTATCTACCCCCTTCTGTAATAGGTGACATTTATACATCTTGTAGGAAATGAGTTTTGTTGTCTTTGGCTGTAACTGATCCTATGTTTTTCATGCATGTTGGTGGGTAGGCAGGTCAACCTGAAAGGAAGGGGATGTTGTAGAAACCCATTTTATAGCCAACATCCTGCAAGCAACAAACAATGATCTAGAGATTGTAGGTATAATCATTAAGTAAGCAAGAATCAAAGTGCAGGCAAGGGTGGTCAACCTTAAAATGTGTACCAAAAATAAACATTAAGAGTTTCTCCACCCCATCCCAATACCTCCTCAGCTTAGGACAGTACTAGAGGAAATTTCAATAGGAAAGCCGTCCACTCCAAGAGCCCTACAATTCTGGATACTGGCTACCACTGTTGCCAATTCCTGGAGCGACGGACGTCTAGCAAAGTTCGATCAGCTGCAGTTAAAATGGAAGAGTAATATGCTTCAGGAAGTACTGCAATTCAGTGCAGGTGTAGTGAACCTTAGAACCTGAAGAATTGCTTATGTTGCTGTGAAATTAGATGCTGCAATGTATTCTGTGCCTCCAGCCAGGTTACCTGGTGGGTGGGAATAGGGTCTCCCATATACCTTGTTTCAGCCTCCAAGACAATTCTACTGATTTGTTCATCCTCACATTTAGTGGCAGTCCTTATTGAGTTAACTTTCTTAATGAGAAAGCCCTCAAATATGCTTTCAGTGTATACCAAATTATACCTTGCATGGCAGAGGCAGCAAAAGTGGTTATAAGGAAAGACAGATTCATGAGACATGAAGAGGGATAACCAACAGGGATTAGGACGCCAATCAACATTGCTACCCGGATGTCTGGGAGCAACTATAACTACTAAAGGGGAGCGGTCTGAAATTTTCTTTGGTTGCATGTAATCAGATTGGATGTAGGGGAGAATTGCTCAAGTTCCCAGGGCTAAGTCTACACAAGAAAGGGAACTGCGTTCTGGAGTAACAAGTTACTGAGTTTTATTAGGATGGGAAAGGCACCAAAAGTTTGCATAAGCCCAATTCTCAACAGACGTTGCCAGGGAGTCAGCAGAGATTGTACAAGTTGGTGGAAATTTTGTCTAGGGAGCACTCAAATTAGGGATGTTCAGATACAAGTGCCGATACTTGGCATTTTCACGAGAACTACCAGGACTGCAGCAGATGGGACCTAGCTCTGGCGCTTCACCACAGTTCTGAAATCATTAGTCTGCAGTGTTTTGTATTTGTGAGGATTTGGACAAGTATCAGTACTGGCACTTGGAAAAATGGTATCGGTGCATTATATATATATAT